AGTAAGGCACTTTTATTTCCTTCCTGCAATTTGGAAATGGCCCGAAATTGTATTGCTTATTTTGTTTGAAAGCCTCCAGAAATTTTTCGAGAATAGCATTCCGATCCCTTTCAATTTGCAGGGCTTCTTTGCTATCCTCTTTCAGCTCTTTCATTTCCAAAGCGATTGTTTGGTTGGCCGCGCGAAATTCTTCCATAAATTCATCTTGGAAATTAACACTGCCTTTTTTTTCCTCCGCTTTTTCGGAGGTTCTGAAGAACACTCTTCCAGTATTAAAAATTCAGGCGAAGGAGAAGTTGCGTCAATTTCAGAGGGCCTGTTGTAGCACTCTTCATCTACCATAACTTCAAGTGTCTCAACTGTAATAACTTAGAAAATGATAGACAATAAACACAGTGACTCACACTCTTAATTATACAGTGATATTTTTACAATATCCACAATGTTTATCATTTGGATTGGTTCTTCATTTTTTATAGTTAATTATCTAACAAAAATTATGTAAATCCAAATTTCATTCTTTATTTAGAATTTCTAAAAAATTAGTATGCGGATTTGTAGCCAATTGAATTAAGTATAATAAAGTGCAAGTCCGAAGTTGCTAAGAATACTACATTCATGAAACATTAAAGAAAAACGTTCCAAAAGGAAAATATGAGGGCTGTTCCGAATCTCGTGTTATGCTCTTGAATTAGGATATTCGTTGCATTTGTAAATTCACAACAATAAACTGCAAACGGTTGCCGTGGCAGCAAGCATAAAATTTGCTAATGCAATTCCAACTGCAAATCCAAGACCATTTCTACAACTTCCTGAAGAGCCGAATTGTGAATATTGTTAATAGATCACAGTACAACTTTGAGTGTGCGTCAGTGTATAAGCATAAGATTATAGTGCTTCACCGTACTAACCTGTACTCTCCTCCACTATTGCTTCCAAATTAAAGGACTTGTAGCCGCCGAGGATTTGGTGCACTTTGTTGTAGTGCCCCCACGCAGATGGTGTGCCGCCTGAAGGCCCAACAATCTTTCTCTCATCTCTATGAAATAAGAATTATATTTTTACAATTAAATTTGCATAGATGAAAAACTTGCCTATATTTATTGGTCAAATTGTGTATATTGACTTTAATTTCGTTTGCGGAAAATAAAAAGCCTCTTGTGGCCATTTCCACTGCCATGCCCGCATATACATGGGAGTTTCGTTTGCAGCCTCGAAGTTGCGGCAACTTCTCCTCCCACAAATCCAGAAGAATTTCGACTTCTTCTTTACACCATTGCGATCGCTTCTTTCTGTAATATGTATGCATTAATAATATTATTTAATAAATACTTTATGAGAAGTATGTTTACAAACCTCTTTTCTTTGCCGGCGTCCATTTCGTTTACTTTTTACTTTAACGTTTCTCCTTTACTTCGTAGTAATAATTATCGATAACACAGAAAACACAGACTTGTATGGAGAAAACTATCGTTATAATCTGAGATTATTTTATAATTACAGATTAACGGGGGACGAATTTTGGATGGATAATCTCGTAATTTAATTACGGAGTGAGAGTTAATCTCGAAAAAGTAGATAATCTTCTTATATGTGAACCTAGTATAAGTAAATTTCAATGCTTACGTAAGAGAAAAGTTACTATGATATCCAAAGCTTTAATATTGTGGCAAATACTGCAATACACGAATGGCAGGCCAAAGCGAACAACAAGACAGAATTTGCGATAAAAGATGTAGAAGAGTTGACGTCGAGAATTGGCATGTGGAATGTACGATAACTTTCGATAAGAAACTTCTTGAGCGGCCGTGAGTGCGAGTGCAGGTATATTAAGGACTCGCTGCAGCGCACAAAAGCTCAGATATAAACGAGGGAGGTACGAGCAGCGTTGTTGAATTGACGATTTCGTCGTAATTTTGACGTTTTTTAGCTCAATGATGTTTTGACGATTTGTCCCCCCGAAATGACGATTTTTTTATTTTAGTACATATGTATGAACAAAAATTCTTAAAGGAAAACGTAGTCCAAAATACAACTATGCATTTATCTAGTCTTGTTCTACAACCGTGCTTTTAGTTATATTTAATTTGTTCTAGAATTAACCAAATCGTAAATTTTCACTGCTGACACTTATTTGAAAGAGAAAGAAAAATGGGAGGGAGAATTTTTTCAATTAAGATAATCACGTTAATCGATTTCTATAATTATTTTTTTTTAAAGAAAAGGTGGTACCTCAGAGGTGGTCTTGTACTAATTCTGTTTAGATACGCTCATTAAGGTATTACGGGAATCTCAACTGTTTACATGAGGATTGAAGTCGGTTTTGTTCTTGCTCAAAAATTACTTATATTAACCCATATGCATTGGGAACCCACATTGGATTTATAATGCGCGGTCATATTTATTGTACTTTTGTTTTTATTTTTTATTGTTAAAAAAAAGTACAGTAAGTAAAAATTTGACGTTTTTTTTGCCGGAATTACGGTTTTTTTGTGGTAAATTGGAGATTTTTCAGCGAAAGCTTTCGGCAACGCTGGCTACGAGTACTGAGATCAATTGCTTTAACAGGTAGTGTAAAGTAGAGAACGCAAGCAAACAATAGTAAACGTATCGGCATCGTTTAGTTTCGCTTATACAAGGTAACGAAATCATAGTTGCCAACTTGGTGTTTTAAGCACTAGATTTAGTGCTTTTTGAAAATTAAAACGCAAAAAAAAATTTAGTGCCTAGTGCCTTTTTTAGTGATTTTTTCTGAACTAAAATTACTTCGAGATAGTTAAAACCTGAAATAATTTGAAATATTTAAAGCTGTGGTAGCACTGAATTTATAAGAATCTACAAATTTAAATGGACTAAAAGAAATTTCCATCGATAACTTAAATTTGTGATACACAATGGCTAGAGGCGTCGCCTGAGTGCAATCTTTCATATATTTATGTATGTGCCAGTCTTACCGTTATATATTTTTATACCCGAGCGCACTTGTGCACAAGGGTATTATAACTTTGTTCACATAACGGTTGTTTGTAACAGGCAAAACGAATCGAGATAGATATAGACAAATGTATACATAAATGATCAGGATGAAAAGAGAAATCGATTAAGCGGTGACCGTCTGTCCGTCCGTCCGTCCGTCCGTCTGTCCGTCCGTCTGTGCACACGATAACTCGAGTAAAAATTAATATATCTTAACGAAACTTGGTACGTGTACTTCTTTCGGGCGTAGGACGGATGGTATTGAAAATGGGCAAAATCGGACAATAACCACGCCTACCTCCCATATAACGGTAATTTTCAGAAATACGGAAACTGCGATATTTTAGTAACTACTGAAGATTATTCACTCAAAATTGATATTTACAATAATTTTTTGACAAAAAATAAGAATATTGTAAATTTTTGAAAAATGGGCGTAGCCACGCCCACTTATGGTTACATGTGTATATCGTGGCAACCGCTGCACCGATTTCTTCCAAACTTGGCACAGTTATTGGCCTTAGTACAGGATACCAAACGGCTGAAAATTTTTAAAATCGGACAATAACCACGCCCACATCCCATATAACGGTAATTTGGAGAAATACGAAATCTTCGATAAATCAGTAAATATTAAAGCTAATTTATTCAAAATTGATGCTTGCAACAATCCTTTACCAGGAAATACGTTTATGATAAAATTTTGGAAAATGGGCGAGGCACCGCCCACTTATGATCACATATATGTATCTCGGTAACCGTTCTTCCATGGTTATTGTGCTTGCCACATAAAAGCAAAGCGTTGAAAATTATTGAAATCGGACTAAAATTACGGCCTTTCATATAACGGTAAAATTTAGAAATGCTTGAAACGTCAATATTTCGAAATTTAAGGACGATAATTTACTCAAAATTGATACACCCTGACTTACCATGTAGCGGTAGCTTTCGGAAAGGTGAAAAACATATATTTAATATTTGCGCCGGGTATTTAATGTTCGGCTCCGCCCGAACTTAGACTTTCTTACTTGTTTATCTATTCGATTATTCCATGGGGTATTCATGCTTTATTTAAATTGAAAAAATTAAATTACTATACCGTTTTAAAAATCTGAAAATTCACTGCGGGACATTTTTTTATTCTGTTTTTGTCTTCGCCTTCTCGTTTTTGCCTTTATAAGTTTTGAAATAAGGTTTCGAACGAACCATATTTTCAATACTAAATTTTATTAACCCTAGAACACACACCCGGGTACAAATGTATCCACTTTCAACTTTGAAGTGTTGTAACTTTTGAACCGCTATACCTCTATACCGCTAACTTCGGATCTAGGAAGATTATTTAGTTTTGAGTTCAAATTGAACCAGATCGGACCATTGGTTCAGGAGCTACAGCCTTCCAAACACATTATATACGTAAACACACACCCGGGATACGTTTGTACCCCAATAGTAAAAATCCTCATAATAATAAAAAAAAAACATTTTTTATATTATTTTTTTATTTGAAAAATTAAAAATATTCATTTCACACATTATATTATTGACTTTTATTATAAAAATTATAAAAATGCATCTTATATCTAAGGAAAATCATGGCAAATAGAGCAATTTGTTGATGTGACCGAATGTTTAAGACACATTGGCTTCTTACATTTGTCGCACAGCTTTCTGGTTTTTCTACGGCGTTTTTCCTCTTGTGCGTAACATAAATAGCAAGATCCGGACACAGGTTTTGGCGTGCGCGCTGCGGCAGATGTTGATGCTGCTGTTGACACCATTGATTCGACCGGTCGGTTGAAATATGCTTCAATAGCAATTTTAGTCGAAAAATTTCGCGTCACTTGACGATTTATGGCTCTGGCTTCAATAATGGGCATACACAATGCTTAAGCCAAGCTGCGCAGGATCTGCTTACGCTTGTTGTTTGTTCTCCAAGGCAACATAGGGTTATTCAAATCGTAGACAATGTAGGCTGCAAGAGCTGTAATGTCCAACATGTTGAAGAACATCGCTAGTGGCCATCGTTTTGTTTGTCTTTGTGTTGGATATTCCGCAAACATTTGGTCCATTCGATCAACACCACCTTTGGTACGATTATAATATTCAATTATTTCAGGTTTCCCACTGTCAGCTATTTCAGCATCATTATGCATGGTCGAAAGCAAAATTACTGCTTTATTTTTTTTGGGAACATAAGAGCACATTGTCACATTATTTTTGAAGCCAAATGTCGTTGAACCAATTGTCCTGTTTTTGTTCTGCTTCATTTCTTGAGGAATATATGATTTGTTTTTGCGCAAAGTTCCAACGATCGTGAGTTTCCAGGTGAGAAGCAGTTCTGCAACTGGCAAGGTCGTAAACAAATTGTCCATTGTAATGTTTCGGCCACTTCCTTGGTATTTGGCAGACAAATCCTTCACCACTCGTTCGCCTTGGTTCGTTTCCCTACCAGTTTCTGCTTGGCCAGTATATATTTGTCCATGCAGTGGATATGCATTTGTTGCATCGCAAATCCACCAAACCTTGATACCATATTTAGCAGGTTTTGACGGTATGTACTGCGTAAACCGTGTGCGTCCACGGTAAGGAAATAATTGTTCATCAATCGTCAAGCATGAGCTGGGCTTGTAATGTGCAGCAAGATTATTGTTCATCATCGTCCACAACTCACTGATCGGTGCTGCTTTATCAGTTAGTAAGCGTGTTGCACGAGTGTTTTTATCGTCAAATCTTAGGAACCGCAATATCGAACAGAAACGGTTGACTCCCATTGTGGCGCGATATAAAGGATAGTTTTTGACGCTCCATAAATCTCGAACATGTTCTCCATTGCTATGGTTCGCACCAGTCATAATAAGTTTGCCAAAAAGTGCATACAGCTCTGTTATTGACACAGGCGTCCATGACTTAGGAGTTGTGTTTGGATGCGCATTGTTGTAAGCATTATAAGTTTCTTTTGAAACGACGACTTACATTTGGTTCTTTCATCCACTCAGTACCATCACGTGCAACAAATTTTTCGGCACTAGCAGGTAATTCATTATTTTCTTCTACTTCTTCTTCTTCATCGTCTTCTTCATCACCCTCATAGTCCGCATAATCAGGTAATACTTCTGCGGCACTTTTCGAAACTTCAGCATCGTCATCAGCAATTTCAATGTCATTGATTTGAATTTCTTCTTCATCTTCTGAGTCAAAGTCATAGGGAGCGTCATCGTCACAAATTTCATCAAATAAAGATAGTATATATGATTCTCGCTGTTCCTCAGTTAGCCTGCATAATAAAAAAAATTAGTATATGTTTACATTGTTG